GGTGGCTGCTCCTCGGCCAGTGCTTGCAGACTGGGGCGCGCCGCCCAGTACGTTAGATAAGATGGGCTGGCCAGGGCTGCTGCGAGGAACAAAGGTGCAGCCCAGCGGTGGCACGATCACATGTGGCAAGGGCCGTGGCAGCGTGATCGATTTCGGCGTGGCGTCGCACGCCGACGTAGAAACCGTACCATGACGGCACATCGACAGCAGTGCGAACAGTCAGAGTGAGGCCTGCAGGCCGGTACAGCGCAACAGAGCCACAGTCAGAGTGAGGCCTACACCCCTGTAGTCTGGACACGTGCATCAGCGCGGCACACGGTTAAGCTGGAGGCCTACAGGTGCGTGCCATGGAATATGCACATCGGCATCCAGGTCAGCACCATGGGAGCATCGAAAGCTTGAGAGTACCTGCAGCTGGTGACGCCGTAACCTCTGCCAATTCGGACGCGGCCCAAGCTAGCCCCAGATCCGAACAGCAAGAGGACCCGGCAAAAGATGGAGGCGAAGGAGAAGCTGCAGAGAAGGCGCGAGGCCGACGAACTGTCCAGGGGCTTAGAGGATGAGTTCGAGAGGGTGGCCGACGAACTGAGCATGATGGAGGCTGCCCTTCACGAGGAGGGGGGCCAGACGGAGGCGCCGAACGCTATCACTGAAGGGTGCCAGCAGGAGGCGAAGCAGCTGGTGGATGCACCAGGGCTATGCCAAGTTGCCCCGATACCTGACGCGCGTGCAGCACTGCAACATGATCGTCCTCAATGCGAAGCCCTGTCAGCTCAGTATGCGTGCTGGGTCTCAACGCCTGTGGGCGATCATCAGGCACGGTGGCGTCCAGAAGAAGGAGGCGCAGGCGATGAGAGGTCGAGGCAAAGGGGCCAGCTACGTCACGCGCCGCACGAAGGCAACAGCGGGCAGAGCCCACTTCGCTGACCCAGTCTCGGAGTGGTGGGCGATCATGGCGGCGCTGGCTGCTCGGGCGCACGCGCTGAGGCACAAAGGTTCGGACATGTGCCAGCAGCGCCACAGGTGTGCAGCCCATCCGCGAGAGGACGCAGGAGGTGGGCCTGGGTCGAGGGCAGGGCCTCGGCAACGACGCAGAGTGCTTCGGCAAGCAGAAGGGGGCTCGAGGGGGCAGCTGAGCGGAGGCAGCTGCTTGCGAAGCTTGTCGATGCTGAGGAGGAGGAGGAGCTCGAAGACTTCAACGAGCGTACCTCACGCTGGGCAGCCAGAGCGGCATGACGAGCTTAAGCGAAGGCGGGGGGGCAGTGCGCGAAGCGGGTAAGCTCCTTCTGGAAGTGAGGGCCAGGGCTGGTACATATGTAACTGAAAGAGGAGGGCCCAGCGAGGTTGGAAACGCTGCAGCTCGGCGAGTACACGGCGGACCCCAAGAAGCAGATGAAGCTCAGGGAGGACTACTGGTCGGCGGTCTGGCAGTCGAATAGCTTCGACGAGGGCAGGTTGAGGCAGTGGCGGGCGCGCACCAGTCAGCGCACCCAGCAGAAGTTGCCGCCCATCGCGCTGCAGCAGGCGAGGCAAGCCCTGACCAGCCTCTCGCGCTGAGGAGTTCGGACGTGGCCAAGCTCCCAGATGAAGCAGTGCAGCAGTGGGTGGGTCTGTTGCAGAACATAGAGGGGGCGGTCCTGTGGCCGAGGCAGGTCCTCACTACCATCCTGTCGCTGCTGCCGAAAGGAGGGGGTGATTGGACCGTAGCAGCCGCTGCTGGTAAAGTGCTGGACTCGCACGCGCGCCACTGCAACCGACGCCTGGTCGGACGCGCTCGAGCAGCACTGGGGCACGGCGATCTAAGGCAGCATCACATTCAGGGCGGCGTTGTGCCGATCGGTGCTGGATGAGTGCGGTCGCGATGAACTTCTGCGCCATCGAGGCGCCGGTGGATTTGGAGAAGTTCTTCGACAGCATCGACCTCGCCATGCTGCAGGAGGTGGCGGAGGAGGCGTTCTCCGCGGTGGCAGTCTCGCCAGAGGCGCAAGCCTGCCTGGCACCCAGGAGGCTCAGGAGGCATTGCTGGGCAGACGGGGCCATCTCGGCGGGGCGGTCCATCGCGGCGAGTAGCAGCCACAGGGTGAAGGTGGCCAAGCTGTTCCTACAGTACCTGTAGCGCATCGGCGTTTGGGCGCCCAGGGCAGGCCTGCAGACGTTCGTGGACGACACGCTCTTCAGGACGGATGGCACTGGGAAGGTGGCGGTGAAGCGGATGGTGGGCGCCCTGCAGCCGTTTTTCCCGGGTGCCTGATCGGAGGCGCACCTCACGGTCTCTGAGAAGTCCGCCAGCGTGGCCTCCGACATGGAGGCGGCCAGGCATGTGGTTCCGGAGGTTCGGGCAGCCAACTTTCCGCTCCGAGCGGTCGAGAAGGCGGTGGATCTTGGCATCAGCACAAGGAGCGGGCCAACAAGGTGGGGGACATCGGTTGCGAGCCATATACTTGTTCCATGAGGAGGATCGAGGGTTGCAAGCAGGTGCCCCTGGCCCAAGGTGTCCCCAGCTTTATGCTCAAGTTTGGAGCTCCTGGGGCCCTCTGGGCCTCGTGAGAGGTGCTCTGGAGGACGTGGGGGCCTCCCTGGAAGTCCTGGGGGCACCCTGGGCCAGGGGCACTTCCAGCAACACCCAAGAGAAAGGCACGCCTCAGACTGTGTTCGAAAATACTGCGCAAAGCTCTTCTGTGCCGTTTTGTGCACGCAGTCTCTTGCTTGCCGTCGGCATTGCCGAAATTATATGTTTCTTGCACGCAGTCTCAGAATGTGTGCGAAAATAATGTGCCGTTTTCGTGCACGCAATCTCTTGCTTGCTTGCTTGCTTGCTTGCTTGCTTGCTTGCTTGCTTGCGCAAAACTGGGGAGCGGCCGGCACGGTCGGTGGGCATCCGGTGCCGGGAGCGTCGCCGTCGGCACTGCCGAGGATCCGAGGGCGGGCCAGCCGAGCGGTGGCAGGTGAAGGCTTCGGCAGGTGCCTTCCCACCGTGCTGGAGCTGGTCAGGGGCAATGGCAATGACGATCCAGGTTTAGCGCTGCCTCGGCAACTGGTCGCAGATGTCTTCCCACCGTGCTGGAGCTGATCAAGGGCAATGGCAATGGCGATCCAGGCTCAGCGCTACCTCGGCAACCGGTCGCGGAGTGTCTGCAGTTCGGGAGGCGGCATCCTGGGCACCGGCCGCGCGTGCAGAAGGCTTGGCGCATCCTGTGCCAGAAGATGAATAACCTTCCCCAAGATAAAAAACATGGGCCAGAGTGAGAGAGGCCATCTCGGAGGTGATCTGCACGGTGCTGACGGCTGGCTAGGACCCGCAACTGGCTACGCCATGGCACTCGGACGTCGAGGAGACGTGGCAGATGAGCGAGGACAACGACATCGACTGCACCGAGCTCCTGGATGAGTCCACCGCCAGCATCAAGAGATGATGATGGACGAAGGCCCAGCATGATGCGCGGCAAGGACTTGCTGAAAGTGCCGACCTGCATCAGGCGAGAAGGCACCTGGCCAAGCTCCAGCGAGACGGCGAGTGCGGCGTGTGGGCGATGCATTTGCAGGTAATGTCGGGCGCTTCCTGGACCAGAGTCAGTCAGAAGGAGGTTGGGTTCGACGTGGGCACTCTTTGCCCACGCTGTCGGTTGGCGGACGAGACGCTGCTCCGCCGCGTCTTGCAGTGCCTGGGCAACGCGGGCCACGAGGACTACGATAGCACGCAGAAGCTGTTCGACCGAGCGGTGGAAGGAGCCGCCGAAGTGCCTTGCCTGTGGTTGCGTGGAGTACCACCTGCGCATTGGACGAGGTACACGTACCCAGACGGCGCCAACGACTTCGAGATAGAGTGGGCGACTGGACCGACGCGGCGGGGCGCTACAACGGCCATGGAGGCTACGTGGATGTATTTGGCGACGGCTCGGGACGATGCCCCCCACCTCAGACAGTGCGGAGCCGGCGTGGTGATCATGCAGGGCTCGCTGGAGGCGCCAGGCGTGATGCAGGTGGCGGCGGGCATCGCGGCAGGGCTCCCTGGGCCAAAGCAGACAGTCCCACGGGCTGAGCTCCAGGCCTTCATCATCGCGCTGCGCCGCACCCGTGGCAGCATGAGGTACCACACTGGCTACGTGCCGCTAGTGCACGGCTGGCTTGAGCGGCGCCAGTTGCACCCTGCTGGCAAGTATGCAGACTTGTGGTGGATGAGCCAGCGCATTTTGCGCGAACGGAGTGATGCGAATGTTGAGATCGGATTCTTGCATAGCCACCAGGATAACATAGAGGCTGATCCTTTCGTGTCGGGGGTTGCGCCGACAGGCAAGCCAGCTAGCAAGCAAACGAGGCTTCTGGAGGCCTCCCTCCACCGTTTAGAACTCGTCGGGACCAGTTGGAGCTGCAAGGTTTGTGAGCAGTCCGTTTTGTCTGATGCCCTTGCCGATTGTAACGAACGGAGCTGCAAGTGTTGGTACTAGTGGGGGCGGGAGGCGGGTTACGGTGGGGGGGGATTTACGGGGTTCTGGTTGCGAGACACCGACGGGGCACCGCCGCGCCACTGACGGGACGCCCCCAGCCACTGCGCGCCGGGGGGGGGGGGACAACTGGCTTCACGGCCCCTAGCCACGGCGGTATCATGCTCCTCGCGCGCCCACACAGTTTCGCTTCGCCCGCACGCACGACACGAACACGAAACCGAAACCGATTTCCTGGTGGGGTGCTCTCTATTACACTGCGATCTCACCAACTCACCTCCGATGCCCAAAGGGGTGCGGGACGCTCTCGCTTGAATGGAAGGGTGCAGGGCCCGATCAACGCTGATGCTGCTGCTGGTGCCAGGCGCGAGAGTGGTTTGTGAGAGTAGCGAGCAGCACGAGAGTCAGCAGCAGCAGGCCGCTCAAATAGCCTCAGGACGACTGGTGCTTCTCAGGGCATTCCCGAGGTATTCCACCCTCCGGCCCCCTCCCTCTCCTCCTCTGCCTCCTCGTCATCCTCCCCCTTGTCCTCCTCCTCCTCCTCCTCCTCCTCCTCGCGCTCCACCGCCCTCGAGCGCCTTCGTGGGCGCGGTCTGGGCCTTAGGGGCGCCGTGGATGCACAGGTCCTTCTCCCCGCAGGGCAGGCCCTGGACCTGGAGGAGGTCGCTGAAGACGCACTGCGGCGGGCGCCCCACGAGGCCTCGTCGCGGCGGAAATAGCGCCCACCTCCTCCTCTCGCTGGCAGGAAAAAGAGGCACGGCACATTCTTAATCATTTTCGGCTTCTGGGGGCCCTTGCCTGCCCCCGGGACTGTCAACAAAAACGGCTCAGGATGAAAAGCCGGCCCAGAGGAAGGGGTCGAGAGGTCTGGGGTCTAGGTCATTCAAAACATCATAGCGTCGGAGTTCGGGGGAGGGAGGGAGGGAAGTGGATGCGCACGAGAGCCAGCCTCTCAGTGTGGCCGTGTACAGGTGATGGATTCGACAGACAGTCGCTCAGGGTTACCCCCTGAGAGCTGGTGGGGGCGTCAAGCCCAGGGACGGGGGGGTGGTGGGAGGGTCGGAGGAGTAGAGGGTGTGCGTGTGCGTCCATGCAGATCCCATGCATGCATGGGTTGACGTTGGCAGGGGTAGTCAGCATCAGCACTGGTTCGAATCGATCTGATTGCTCTTCAGAAGGGGGGGCAGAGGGATGGGAGAAGGGAAGACATGGAAGTAGGAGGATGAGGAGGAGGACCGCTGTAAATCCAACACGCATCAATGATGTTGCAATAAGCCCTCCCTCCAAGGTTCCCTCATCATATGATGCTACAAGAATGCATTTTCGCTGCTGGACGACAACCGTCTGAGGACAACCGTACGACACGACACCATTCCTTGGACTTCAGCGTCGCGAATCAACCTTCTGTTGCGCCATGACGATCCTGCATCGTGCCAAAACATCATTGCTGAGACTTTAACGCTGACAATCCTATTTTTCCGTTCTGGAGGACAACTTCTTGGACGTCAACCCTAAGACTGCGTTAACTGGTTGTAGACTTTGATAACGAATGTGCGCGGAGCTAAAGCGAGAACCACATTTTTGAAAATCACCTGCCCTCCATCCGTGAGACTCTTGCGCACTTGTTGTACGAATCTACGCTGCGCTAATGCGAGGACCACATGTTGAACAACAGCTGCCCTCCATCCGTGAAATTCTTGCAAGCCTTTAAACATAATGTGCTCGGCGCTACAGCGAGAATCCTCCCATTTTGAAAACGGCTCGCCCTCAATCCGCGAAGCTCTCGCAAACCTTTAAGACGAATGCAGTCGGGGCGTTGACCTAAGGAACCCTAAATAAGGAACGAGGCCCCTTTTTCCCAGAAGTTAAACTTCGATTTCCGATCGGAAACACTAGGGAAACCTGAGGCAAGCTGTGAAACACTCAAGGAACGCGGAGCCCCTCCCCAACGAACAGGGTTCCTTCTTCAGGGCCCCGACTGTATGTGTGTGACGCTAAGGCGATAACGAAATTTTGAAAACCAAAAAAAAACGCTCTCCATCCGAGACGCTCCTGCGAACCTTTGGAAGCACCGTGCGCGGCGCTCCGACGAGAACGACGTCTCGAAAGGCACCCGCCCTCCACCTGTGAAGCTCCTGCGAGCTTCTAGGAGCGGCTGTGCGCGGCGCTGTAAGGCGCGAGCCTCATCTCGAAAAGGCATCGCCCTCAGCTCGTGAAGCTCTTTGCAAACCATTGCAACGAACGTGCGCGGCGCTGATGCGAGAGCCACAGTTTGAGAACCACCTGCCCTGCATCCGTGAAGCTCCTGCGAGCTTTTGGAGAGCGAATGTGCGCGGCACTCAGACGAGAACCACAGTTTGAAACCCACCCGCCCTCCATCGTGAAGCTCTTGCGAGCTGTTAGGACGAATGTGCGCGGCGCTAAAGCGAGAGCCACATTTTGAGAGCAATCCGTCCTCCATGCGTAAAGCTCTTGCGAACTGTTCAGCGAAACGCATGGCCCGCCCTATCGACGCGTCCCGGGGTGCGACAGGGAGGAGATGATATCTATAAGGAGAAGGGGTGGAGGAGGGGAATGGGAGGAGGAGGGGAGGAAAAACAGGAGGAGCAAGAGGAATAGGAGGAAGAGGAGGGGGAGGAGGGGGAGGGGGAGGAGGAGGACGAGGAGGAGGTGATTATGATGATGGTGATGCTGATGATGATGTTGATGGTTCTCATGATGATGGTGATGATGATGATGGTGAGGAGGCGATGGAGGAGGACGAGGAGGAAGTGAGGAGGAGACGGGATATGAGGAGGAGGAGGACGAGGAAGATGAGGAGGATGAGCAGGAGGAGCAGGAGGAGGAGGAGCCGCCCTCCTCCCGTGAAGCTCTTGCAACCTATTGCAACGCATGTGCGCGGCACTGATGTGATAACCACATCTTGATAACCACCTGCCCTCCATCCGTGAATCTATTGCAAGTTTTTTGAACGAATGTGCGCGGCGCTCAGACGAGAACCACAGTTCGAAACCCACCCGTCCTCCGTCTGTGAAGCTCTTGAGAACTTTTACAAATGCGCGCGGCGCTGAGACGAGAGCCACATTTTGAAACCCACCCGCCCTCCATCGTGAAGCCCTTGAAAGCTTTCAGGACGAATGTGCGCGGCGCTAAGGCGAGAGCCATACGGTGAAAATCATCCGCCCTCCATTCGCAAAACTCTTGCAAACTGTGAAACCCAATGTCATACATGGTGAGGACGCCTCAAGCGAAACGCCTGGCCCGCCCTCCCGACGCGTCTCGGGGTGCGACAGGGAGGAGATACCTATAAGGAGAAGGGATGGGGGAGGGGAATGGAGGCGGGTGGGAGGAGAAGCAGGAGGAGCAGGATGATGATGATGATGATGATGAGGAGGAGGAGGAGGAAGAGGGTGGAGGAGGAGGAGGAGGAGGAGGAGGAGGAGGAGGAGGAGGAGGAGGAGGAGGAAGGGGAGGAGTAAGAGGAGGAGGAGGAGGACCAGGAGGAGGAGGAGGAGGAGGAGGAGGAGGAGGAGGAGGAGGAGGAGGACCAGTGTAAATCCACGAGCCATCAACGATGTTGGAATACACCCTCCCTCCAAGCTCCCTCTTCAGAGCCTCCTGCAACGGTTCATTCCATTGAGGGAACTGCCTCGTTGGAAGGCAACCGGCGCTACGGCGAGTGCCACATGTTGAAAACGGATTATCCTCAATCAGTGAAGCCCTTGTAAGTTTTTATGATGAGTGTGCGCGGAGCTAAGGCGAGAGCTTCATTTTGAAAACCACCCGCCCTCATATCGTAAACGAGAGCCATATTTCGAACACCACCCGCCCTGCATCTGTGAAGCTGTTGCCAATTTGTAAGCTTCAGGGGCATACGTGGTGGGGAAGTCTCATGCGAAACGCCCAGCCTGCCGCCAAAATGGCCTCGGGGTGCGACGGGGAGAAGTTAGCTGTAAGGGAAAATAATGGAGGAGGAGAAGGAGGAGGGGGAGGAGGAGGATGAGGAGGAAGAGGAGGAGAAGGAGGAGGAGGAGGATAAGGAAGAGGAGGAGGAGGAGGACGAGGAGGAGGAGGAGGAGGGGGAGTAGGAGAAGGAAGAGGAGGACGAGGAGGAGGATGAGGATGATGAGGAGGAGGTGGAGGCGGAGGAGGAGGTGAGGAGGAGGAGGAGGAGGAGGAAGAAGTGGAGGAGGCCATGGAGGAGGAGGGGGAGGGACGAGGAGAAGAAGGATGATGTTGCTGATGATGCTGATGATGATGAGGATGATGACGATGATGATGATGATGATGATGATGATGATGATGATGATGATGATGACGATGATGATGATGATGATGATGATGCTGATGCTGATGCTGATGCTGATGATGATGCTGATGACGAGGATGATACTGATGATGATGCTGACGCTGATGCTGAGGGTTATGCTGCTGATGATGATGCTGCTGATGATTTCGATGATGATGAGGATGAGGATGCTGATGATGATGATGCTGATGATGATGATGATGATGATGATGATGACGAGGGGAATGAGGAGGAGGGGCAGGAGGAGGATGAGGAGGACGAGGAGAAGGAACAGGTTCGGCCTGAGAGCCCGCAGGACCCATCTGATACCTGTAACTGTCCTGTTGCCTTCTCCTCTCAGGCCAGACCTCGAGCGTGGCCTCAGAGGCCCACGCTTTCCCTTTCGACCATCCTCTTCAGGCCTCGGGAGCCTGCGTGGCGCAAGCGAGCGAGGGCCCTGCGCCACGACGCGAGGGCCCTGACCATAGATTATCAAGCATAGCTACGGCTGGCAGATCATCACAGCACCTCCATGAAGGGTGGTGGTTGCCCAGGCACTCGGAAGCGCTTGTCTTGCAAAGGGCACGCCAAAACACTGGCACGGCAGGTGCCTGCGCGGCCGACGCTGCACGGGCCACCACCCCCCGGCGAGACCGCGATCCCAGAGTCGGGGCAGACAGGAGGACGGTGTGGTCCAGAGCTGCATCAAGAGGCTGCCCCCGATGCCGAACAGGGCGGCGGGGACACACTCAGCGTACAGGACACCGCCTCCGAGAGCAGCCGACCAAGCGGCACTCCGAGAGGGCTTCTACAGTCACATGGAGGATGGTGCGAGCATGGCCATCCTTGCCACGAAGGCGAACAAGACGGAGGACGCGGAACGCCACGACATGGAGGTAATGGTCCTGAAGAGTGCACTCGCATCGCCACAACCAGTACGAGAACAGAAGCGAGAAGTCAACTGGAAGCTCGACAAGGCTCGAGATCGCATGGCCTCCGTCCGCCCAGAGCAAAATGAGGGACCTGGTGACCCAGGAGCGGGAGATAGAGCTAGAGATCGCCCAGCTGGAGTCGTGCATGAACGAGCTCGGGGATTTACAAGAGGATCCAGAAGAGCACGGACATGGAGCAGAAGCTGGACATGGACCGCCTGGCTCGTGGCAAGAGCCGTCAGTACAGCAGCAGGGCCCCAGTGACAACTAGATGCGCGGGCAGGATCAGGTCGTCACTCCCTGCGGCCAGCTCAGCCCAGGGGTGATCGTGACTTCTGGAATCTCGCCACCTCTTGGGCCGCAGCTCCGCTTGGCAGCCATGACAGCATCGATGAGGACGACGACGCAAGTACCAGTGGCAGTGGAGACGACTGCACCGCAGCCACCCGCACCAACGTCTCCTCAGCAACAGCAGATGCA